AAGCGTGCTTACAGCCGTTTTTCCATCGGGACAGGGAAAAGAGCCTCCTGCCAGCTCTGCTCCTGACTGCTTTCCAGAACCTCCCACTGCGGTGCTCTGCTGCTACCAGAAAAGTGACGGATATGCCGCTCTAAGAAACGCGACCCTCTTCCTCAGGTCTGATGGGAAGGACCCTTTATTTCACACAGTGCTTTAACCTTTCTTCTTCTGTCAGCGGGCCGTTTCCCCAATTACAGTACCTTTATAATGAGCCTGGCGTTGCGCTGTGTGCTGTGCACCAACCGGCCTTGAATCCTGTCCCTTCCAGTCAGTTTTAAGGCTCAGGCACCTCGCTCTCACACCTCTCCTCTTCGTCCGTAGCCCTGCCCATCGCAGCACTGTCCACTTTCCTACATCTCTGCAGGCAACCCATCTAACCCGTCCCTGACAACGACCACGTGTTAGTGCAGGCGCACTGTGAAACCCCAACCAGACCTGAGGAAAGGTGTACTGTTTCTCTCTCCATGTGAAAGCCAATCTGTAAATCGATTTTTCTCTAGTGAGGGGAGTGACCAGGAAACAGCCACTTGTTATCTTGTCGCTTACCAACACCCTTGGGGACACGAGGTACATCGCAGCTATCCTCCCCGGGACGCGGCGCAAAAGTCCTGCTCGCGGGACAGCCTGCCTCCCCACACCTCCAGGCCATCTGCATCTACACGAGCGAGGGCACACGTACAAGCCTGCCTTGGGGAGGAACCTCAGCCCTAAAGGCAGGAATTAAAACAAAGACAGGGAGAGGCAAATAACGCATTCCGGGCAGACCCTGCCCTGTGCCCGCACGGAGCAGAGCGCTGCCAGGCCCCTGAAAGCCCGCACCCTTTTTTCCCCGCAACCCATGCCTTGAGGTGGGCCGGAGAAATCCAGGCACCCGCGGCCACCCCAGGGACACCCTCGCCTCTCTGGTTCTGCTGAGCCCTCGGCGCAAGGTGGTCCCAGCCCTTATCCGCCATGGGCGACAAGCGCTGCCGCCTACCAGGAGAAACGCATCGCAAGGCAAAGCCTCCGGAATCGTCAGCGGGCGTACGACCGCCCCCTGGGTTTCTTCTCCTCTTCCTCCGCTCTTGAGGGAAGCTCAATAGCTAGGCCACTTCTTCCTGCCTTGGCATGTCTAGAGCACTGGCTTATCGACTGCTCTCAGCTGCCTCCTGCGACGCGACGTTAGCGCTAGAAGCACATCCATTAGTGTTAGAAGCACAGCACAAAGTCTACATCTGTTGCCCCAGGGTTCATGGACTGTTTTACCACAAACCCATGTATCTATTTGAGGGAAGCTCAATAGCTAGGCCACTTCTTCCTGCCTTGGCATGTCTAGAGCACTGGCTTATCGACTGCTCTCAGCTGCCTCCTGCGACGCGACGTTAGCGCTAGAAGCACATCCATTAGTGTTAGAAGCACAGCACAAAGTCTACATCTGTTGCCCCAGGGTTCATGGACTGTTTTACCACAAACCCATGTATCTATTTTCTGAGAAGAGATGATCAGAGCAACAGATCAGCTACATCTATGGAGTTCTGGAAAGCCAAAGCTTTCCTCATTACACTTCAGTAGGTAGGAAGCGAGACTCCACATCAGGTTTGCAACTTCCATGTAGTTTAATAAGTTAACAGCCATTACACAGCAATGGAATTCTTCTTACACATTTACAAAGGTGCTGAATTTCATTCATTTAATCTATAATTAATTTTTTTTTAAAATTTCTTCTCTTAAATAGCTAAGCAGTTCCTATTTTTTACTCTAAACGATCTGGGGTTAAAATAATCCACCCAGAGAGAAGGCATCCAAGTACAAAAGAGCACGTACATGTGGGGCACTAATTCAGATTCAGCATGGGTATTTGGCCCAGTACCTGTACAAACGAGGAAAGGTGTTGTAGAGCAGTCATGCCTGTAAAAGGAGCTGTGATATCACAAATACACAAAGACCTTTTCCCGAAATTTGACTACCACTGAGATTATTATTACACTCATTGCGAACTAGGGGGAGGAAGGGGAGAACAGGGCAAAAGACTGCAAAACACACAATGCCACCCACCCAACATTCAAGTATTTTGACAGCTGCCCAGAAATCATCTCCTCTGTAGGATCAGCAAACAATGAATGAGACTAGTTGTCACAGGAAGCAGCGTCACTAAAGACAGAAAGCAGAACAAAAACATTTTTGGCATACACATTGTCATACAGATACATTTCTAATCTAGAAGCAGAGCATGCCCACTGCTCCCTTACATCAATCTTTGCAAGTTTTCATTAAAAGCTGAACTGTGTTTTCTGACTCGCTCTCTACCTGACTAGTCTCCCCTCCCTCTCCCGCACTTCAGCCAATCTGTTCAAAAACCCATCCTCCACTACATGAGCAGGGAGAGGGGCAGATGCAAAAGCTGGATTTTCTTTTTTCAAGCCCACCCCTGGTCAGGTCTATTTGAATTTATTTTGTGGACGTCACAGAAGATATTAAGGCCGCTTTCCTTTTCAGTCAGTTACCACTGTGACCAGGACAGGACTTTACAGAGCAGGCTCTACTTAGAAGTGCGTGCGAACACCCTACATATGTACACACCATGCCTCCCCCCTGGCCCTTGAATAAGTAGCCTTTGAACAACTTCTCCAAATATCAGGCCTCAGTCAAACATCCATCACACTGAAGCCTATAGTTCCCCTAAAACACTGAGGTCTTTGCAGCTCCCTTCATTCATGCGCATCGTTTCTCTTGCCTCAGGAAGATAATACCCTTTGCAGGCAGATGCCAAGGGCTTTTTCACCACGGACATTCTTAAAAGCCTTACCAAAACATGGGACGAGGGTATGTCCAGACAGAAATACACTTACAAGCATACAGCTAGAGAAATCTATTTTCTTCAGAGAAGTAAAAATACACAGTACAGGTAAATTCTAGTAACTGTGTTCAGCCAAAACAGGAAAAAGAGAAAAAAAAAATTACTTTGGCTTCATTTAACAGTCACCCTGAACTTGTGTAGCCAGCAGTGAAATGCAGCATTTGGAACCTAGGCCCTCATAAGTAGTTTGAACTGTTGCAGAAACCCCTCTATGTTCAAGCCTACCTCCCTGCCACTCCTCTTTCTCCACGTATTTGATCAAGGACCAATCTCATGACATGCAAATATTGGGCCTACCCTGAGGCAGCAACATAGCACCTGCAGTCCATTTCAGTCTAAAAGCTAGATGGCCGATTGCTCTGCATACTGGATTTGCTTCTTGCCCTGTCATTATGAAATGCCACAGACCCTGCAATGGCTCCAAGATGAGGGTGCAAGTACACAAAAGTTAAATAGGGAACAGCAGATTTCAAACTTTCAAACAGAACTTTTGTCCTAAAGCAAGCAGCACAAACTGAGATTAAATACATAAGAGATTTCTTTATGCACCAGTTTTAGGAGGGAAACAGCAGTTTTGGGGGGGCAAAGACCTACATGACCTTCCCTTTCCTTCTGAAAAGATTAGCTTAGAAGAATGATTTTGCATGCTAATAATCACACCTCCCCACAAGG